TTCCCATGTGTATCTTTTTGTCTGTACACCACAGACTGAAACTAGCAGCCACAATCTTTTGTTTACGACTACCGACAACAAAGAACCAAAAATAAATAATGGTGTGAAACCTTAAAGCCACAAAATCCCTTTCATCCTCACTCTAACACAGACAGGTCAAAATTGTCTGCCAAAAACGATGAGCCATAAAATGCAACAAAAACAGAAGCAACATATTCTGAAATGTTTGATAATGAGTGTTTGATCTCATACCACTAACTGCATATCATTTGTGAACACCGGAAATGAAACATGCCTTTAACTTAATTGGATTGCAAAGCACAGTTGAATGTACAAGGCATCCATGCATGTGATGTGTGAAAGAAAGAAATGCAGATAGACAAAAAACAGAAACAAATCAAACAGAGGAGAAAAAGCACAGGGGGCAGATCCTGCGATGGCCGCTCGAATATGCTTTTTTTTTTAATGAAGATAAATTGTCCTGATAAAGAAAAGCTGTCCAGCTCAGTCTGACAGCGGTGATAAGGAGGAACGCCTGAGCTACAAGCACTGAAGGAGGTTCATTAATGAGCAATGATGTGACAGTAAAATAAGAGACTTCATTCTTTTTACTCATTCATTCACTGTAGCAGATTGGGCACTAAGGGTACACACACACACACACACACACACACACACACACACACACACACACACACACACACACACACACACATCAGATAAAATTCTTTGGGGGATGGAGAGAATAGAGGGTGTGTGATGGTGTGTGTTGATGACGATGAGCAGGATGAATCAAAGAGAAAGAAAGGGAAGAAAAGAAAGGATGGGACAGGAGAGAAGGAGGAGAGAAAGAAAAGGAACACAGAAAAGAGGAGATGAGAGGAGAAGAGGACTAAAAGGGGAGGAGGGGAGGGAGAGGAAAAACAAACGAGGAAAAGGGGAAAAGAAGAAGGTCATGAAGACAGAAAGAAAAAGAGAGGGAAAATAAAAAAAATAAAATGATGGGTGAAGATGGACCAGGAGAAAGAAGAGAGGAAAGAGGAGAGAAGTAAAGATGGGAAAAGAGAAGGAGAAATAAAAAGGGGGGTGGAGAGGAGAGAAAGGAGAGAAAGGAAGAAAGAAGGACAAAAGGGAGGTTTAAAGACTGGAGAGAAAAAGAGAGGTGAGAGGAGGAGGGGAGAGGAGAGGAAAGGAAAGGAAAGGAGATGACACAAGGTAAGACCAGAGGAAAAAAGGGATAATAGAAGGGTAGAAGTTTAGAGGGGAGGAGGGAGGAAAAAGGATTGGAGGAGAGACGAGAGAGGAGAAGAGAAGAGCTTAAGGATAGAAGGGAAGAAGAGAAGAAGAGAGGAAGGGAGAGGAGGGGCGATAGGATGGAAGAATAGGAGGGAAAGGAGATGAGAAAAGATGAGTGGAAAAAAGGGAGAATAGTGTTGAGGAGGGAGGGGGAAAAAAGAGAAGCGAAGTATAAGAGGAAAGAAGGACAGATATATGGAGGTATAGGGGAGGAGAAGTGGAAGGATGGAAGGAAAGGAGAGGACATGATCACTGTTCAGAGTCCAGAGCCCCAGTTGCCTGCAGTTGAAGCCAGCAGGGACCTCTACTGGAAAACACCATCAATAACCTCATCATGCCATCACAGCCAGAGAGAGAGAGAGAGAGAGAGAGAGAGAGAGAGAGAGAGAGAGAGAGAGAGAGAGAGAGAGAGAGAGATACCTGGACTCTATAGAAGGAACATTTCTCATGGAGATATGTCCAGAAGTAAAAGAGCAGAGAGTTCATTTAGTTTTTTTTTTGTATGTTTTTTTAAAGTTCTTTTCCCTTCTCTCCCAAAATTGATTAAATGAACGATTAAAGGAATGAATATAGTCAAAATGTCAACGTACTACACTGTGAGAATTATAAGATACTGGTCAATGTTTGACCAGTAGATGATGATGCAATCATGACATGGACAACCAGAATTATGAGATATTGAGTCAGTGTTTTATCTTAGTAATACACTTATATAGTAAGTCAAAAATACATAATAATAAGGAATAAGTCAACATTATTTGTAATTTTTTAATTATCATTTTGGTCAAATATTGAATTAAGTTTAGTTTGATGAAAATAATAAAAACTCTTACTCTAAGTTTTTTTTAATCATTCCCATGCTTTCATAATTTTTACTCTTTTTTTTGGCAGAAATGAGCTTCCATGTAAAATAATAAACAGATGTCACATGTTGTACGGTAATGAAATATTAAGAATTGGTTTGTTTTCCAGGTCAATTCAGTTCATTCACCGTTTTTCCTGGACAGCCTCTCTAATCCAAACCCACACTCCAGGAAACACATGAGTGACAGGCCCTGATTGGCTGCCATCGACACACAAATGACTGAAATCCTCTCAGTCAGTCCAGCTTGCAGCGTTTGCAGCAGAAATCCTCCATCCACTCAGCAGATGCACCTTATCTGAGTAGTGGTGACAACCAGGCAAAGTCCAGTCCTGTGATTGTTCTCTAATCAAGGTCACTCGATTCAGCTAATTCACTTCAGCTTTTAACTAAACTGCTTTCATTTCCAAAACACAATGGACACAATATGTTACCATTATATTCAATAAAAACAGTGTTTATGAGAGTTTCAAGTGTATAAAGGCAGCGAGGGCAACGGAGGCAAATGTGTTTCCACATACACAGACAAAAGGTAAAGAGCTGACTGCGGAGAAAGAGTGTAAACAGAATTATGTAATCAATGCTTCTGAACATATATGCATTTGAAAGGATTATCTTTTGTAGCGCTGCTTGAAAAGGATTTACAAAATATTTTCTGGGACAATGTCTTCACAAGAAATGCTTGACAAGTAATCGGGAACGCAGCCAGCCCCTTCTGCAATCGGCAGATAGCAGGCTAAAACCGTGACACACTCGATATCAGCCTGATAAAATCAATGGTGGCAGTCCCGTTCATGGCTGACTAACAAATGTCCTGCTGATGCACAGAAGCATCATCCGATACGACGACATAACCTGCTTTTAACCTGTGATTCCTTGATTTCTTTCACGTTTGAAGTCTAAATCTTCCCCTACAACATGTCACCAATGAGATATATATATATCTATATATATATAAAAAAACAAAAGCTATCATAATCTGTGTGCATGTATGAATATGTGGAATACCATCATCTTCAACCCATCCCCCACCCTTTGATCGTCAGTCGACTTGTTGCTGAGGAACAGCATCAGAAGCATCTCTGCACAGAACAACAGTGGGGAGAGTAAGTATTTTTTACCTGCCTCTCCATCTGCATTAAAATGTCTCATTAACAGAGCACCTCACCACGCAGGCAGCAAACAAAACGGTGCCACATATGGTCAATTTCCTCCACCACTCGTGAGGCTTCTCTGCGACAACTCAATGAAGAAACGCTGCCATTGTAACCCGACTCTGAAAGCGAATGACTGCCTCCATCGATCCTCAAACACCAATTAGAAGCATCTTGATTAAATAACCCCACTGAGGAGCAGCTACACCCCAAACAGATGTGCGCAGATGATGCGATGAGGCTGGAGATTTAATGATGCGCCCGTTTGTGTTTGAACGGAGGGAAATTGTTTCTACAGAGGGCACTATTGGCAGCCAGGCGTGGTCTACACAGATGCATCAGACTTACCAACAGCTGTGTGTTGACTACGAACTCTCTGGATCGACCAATATAACAGTGAACCAAAGCGGAGGAATCACCGGAGGGGCTCGTATATTCAGATCACGGCGAGTTACAAACAGCATGTGATTGTTACGGCTGATTAGATGGGAACGTAACCTCCTCTGTATTGTCTCTAGCTCTGAGAAAGTGAAGTGCTCACTAATGCTGACTCAGCTCTCAAAGCTGTGACCTGAAAAACTCAAGTTTAGTTGCTGCAAACTTTTCTACTGCGTCTTTCAACTTGATTACGTTGGCCACTTTGTCGACAAACAGACACAGCAACATAAGCATCTATTTGGACTCTTTTCTACCTCAGTGAATTGAAGAAATACGTCCAATATTCACTCTCCTTGTTCAGTTCTCATCTCCATCAGTTCCTGAGAAAAATACCTGTTTTTTTAGCTGCTAGATGTTCCCCTTTCTTCAACAATTAGTCACTGACCTTGTCTGCTTGTTGTTGGGTACCGGGCAGGCAGCAATTACTGTTATCAGAGCTTATTTTCTTAAAACAGCTACCTTCTGCTGCTGGAGACGAGGTGGATGCAAATGCTGAGACGGTAAATGTAAACACAACTAGAACCTGAGTGGCCTTTTTACCAATATAGATTAGAATATAGATGATTTCAACCATTCTTAACATGAAAAGTACTCGTTTGTGGAGGCCTAAGATAAGCTCCAGGGGAGGAAAACCTGAGGAAATATTATACTATTTTTCATTTTGTCTGGACAAATATTGTGGGCTACGTACAGATTTTCTCATAACAACCTTCCTATGTTGGTATCAATACAGTCTTAATGTCAAATATCACAATGCCTCCCATGCCTCCTAAAATGTGCGTCCCTGTAACAGGGAAAGGTTCAGAATCTTTAAAAGCTTTTTTACACTGAAAGAGTTACTGGTCACTATAATTGCTCCTCTTCTCCATACTGGCGCTCCCTTTGTATTCCAACTTCTGCACAAATATTGGTCTAAATCCACAGCCCTCTGCCCATGCATTTTACAGTCCAGCCATAATATGAAGCTTTAGCAATGTTGCCCGCTCATGTGGATTTTTCCATGCTGGGAGTCAAGGGATGGTTTACTGAAAACATTTTGTCCTGGCAACAACCCTGCATGTGACTACAAGGTCGATTCGTTCATATCCACATGAGTGGCTCTGAACTTCATGTAGCATGTGAGCATACATGACATGTGAGGACTGTATAAAGACACAATTCATTACAATCTATGTGGCAACAAATATCAATGCATATACACAAATCAGACTGTGCTGCAGCAGAAAGGACTAAAACTAGCAGTGACTTACAATATTCATGAGCGTGAGTAGGTAGTTCTGCACGTGCTCTTTGCCATGAAATCGAACCACCGAGTCGTCAACTCCCAGCAGGATTTCAATGTTGTAGTCGTCCTCTCCAGCATCTCGGCGGCGACGGCGGCGGACAGTGTCGTTGACCTGCCGGGCCACAGAGTCCAGAGTCCCGGGTACATCCAGCTCTGGTTCTACACAGAGATGAAAACAGAGGGGATATACAGTAAGTGCAAAATGCAACTTGTTTTAGTCATACTGGATATGGGTCAGGTCAATCGGTATGTAATCACCTGACAAATTTAAATGTTTTTTAATTTTTTTTTTAAAGCAGTTGCTGTAGGGCTTTTATGTTGAAATGCTCACTGAGTAAATACACACCTTGATCCACTATTATATGAAAGATGCCAGTAAAAGTGCAAAACACAGGAAGGTGTCGGAGGGTTAAATCCACATTAGATGCGTGGAGGTACAGTTATTGGATTTCATAACACCTGAAGTGCTGAAATGATAACAATAATACCTACTTCAATTCAATTTATCTGTTTATTGGTTTACTTATTTATCAAGCAAACATGCCAGCTTCATTCTCTGGTTCCAGCTTCTCGAACAGTTGAGTGTGGAGCATTTCTCTGTTATATGTGATTGTAATTTGAATATCTAACAAACAAATCAAGCACATGAAGATGACACTTCGGGTTCTATTAAACTGGGAAGGGAATTATTTTCACAATTTTCTGTCAAAAACATAATTGACAGATTAAATGATAGTAAAAATAATTGTTTGTTGTGACTAAGCTAAACTAAACCTAACTAAATTTGAAAGTACACTTTACATTTAGCCATATAACACTTGCTCGTTTGCAAATACCTTTTTATTTTGTCTGCAAAATGAAGGCTCGACATTATCAGTTAATTCTATTAGTTGATTCCATCTGGAAACATTCAACACTTTATATTTGACTAACATGAAGTTCATCAAAGATTATCAATCTTACATTTCTGAAAGGATTTTTTCACTCAGTCAGAATGGCATAAAACCAATCATACAGTAGTTTACATTACCCTCTTTCACTCTTTATTGTGCATTCACATCACTTCCCTGAAGCCAATCAAAGACAGAGTGTGGGTTTCGATTAACGTGCATCATACTGTAACACACACAGCTAATGACAGCTTGTTCACTGCTGGCTGTAAATGAAGCCTCTAGGCCGCTGGCTTCGTCAAGTAAATGCTCAGAGAACCCTGAAGACTCTTGAGCTTGTTAGAAGCTGCTGAAAGCCCACGTTAAGGCTTGAAATCTCTCCAGCGAGCAAGGACAACAGGTCTGAGTATAAGCAGCTCACACACTGCTGAACTGCGATCAGGTCATTCAAACCACAACTCCATTTCTTTCCAAAAAAGCCAATGCGATTCACTGCTGGTAATGGGACTATAACACAAAAAATCTACAGTTATTTTAAAGCTTTTTTTTTTTTTTTAAATTCATAGATTATCCTCTGCAGTTATATAACAGGGAAATCAGATCTGACTTCAGAGCAAGCTTCTGTCACCACTCGATATGAAACTGAAGGGAGTTATCTGACTTGACAGTATTTGGTCCAGTACGCTCGCTGGTACTGAATCGGACCATGAAATTGCTAGTACTTCCCTTTTTGATGGAACGGCCCACCAGTGCTTAATGCCCGCCTGATACTGCTTAGCTTTACAGTCTGAAGGCTGAGGCCGTCTCTGTCAAGCCTCTCAGTGAGCAGTGCTGATATTAAATCCTTCATCTGGTCCCCTCGGTAATCCTGACGAGGGCAAACAACTACCACCCCGAGAGCTGATCGAGTGGCCACAGATACCCCTTACTCTACGCTTTGCTGCTTTACAGTAGGAAGCACTAGAGATGAAATTTTCCACTATAATGACTGAAAAAAAAAAGAAAAAAAAATCCTTTGGGGGGATCAACAGCTTGGTTGGTCATAAATGCAGCCAGCAGGAGAGTTGCTGGTTCAAACCCCAGCGGGGAAAATCTTGGCAAGGAGTGAGTCTGTTTTGCTCTGCTGAAGCTGCTGGCCAACAGTAAGGCTGTGATCATGCCCACAGTTTGTTTTGTTTGCTCTCAGCCACAACGGAAAACTGTATTTTTCATTTTTTATTAGTTTTGTATGAGGGGAGTAATTTTAATCTCTTTGACATAATCTGAAATTGAAATGAAGCGTGTGAAGCCTCTGTGCTCTCCATGTTATCAAAAACAGAGTTTTCGGGCAGAGATCGTTCACTCCATCACTACAACATCATTTACACTGGTGTTATTATAAATATTAGGTTGACACACTATGTTTGCTGGTTTTTATCTACAGGCTATGAGCTAAAATGTTAGCTTGCTAATGCACACAGTGGTATCTGTTTTGTATTGCAGCTTGGTGCAAACATTCCCCACTTTCAGAATTGAAAGTTTTTTCAGAATAAATTATACTGCTGACCCCCTGGCTGTGTGTGTGTGGGGTGTGGTTCCTCTTGCATTTATCTGTGTCTGGCATGTCTTCATTCTGAACCTAAAACTGATTATAAACTCAAGGGAAGGGAGGTCATCTTCCATTTGGTAATATCCATAAACCTCTGCCTGGAGTCTGCCAGCAAGACACAGCGCTGGCCTTGAACTTTAAAAAATTGGGTTCATGTAGGTTCACGCAGCCCATTTACAAACAAACCAGGGTTGGTAAACAAAGGTCACATGGACTCAAAAGCAGCTTGTGTATTAAAGACGTTTTGGTAAGCCGTCATCCTGCCGTGTCAGAAAATTTGGCAGAGGGGTGAGTCAAAACAAAACTCGTTCCAGTGCCTTTAGCTAAACCTGACGGACGTGTCTATATACTGGAATTAACCTTCTCTGCTCTTCAAACCATATATCAAATCTGACATTAAGAAACCATTCAAGCCCATTTAGTGATGCTAACCCACAATGCAGAACTTAGAAGAAGATAAAGACATAGACAGGAGTCTCAGTGTCATCTTTTGATGTTCTCACCTGAACAGTAACCAAGAACATTTTTAGTGTGAACTGTGAGTCCACTGAGAACCTCCTGAATATGTCTGCAGCTAAAGAAAGTTGAGGCAAATCACTCCTGAAAAAAAGTTTTCTTTCCCTGAATAAATAAATGATTAAAGCAAAAGAAAAAAAAAAATCACAGCTTTTATATTTCATCAACACAGGGTGTAGATACTGAGCTGGCAAATACTTGGAAATCTCAAGCCATAAATAAAAGCGCAGGCCATTTTTCATTTTTCCAGGGATGCTTAGGGCCGCAGACAGGGCCTGTGATTGAGTGGAGAGGGAGCTAAAATAAATAGTAAGAAATGGCTGCCACCTCAGCCATGGCCCAGCTCCTACAGTGTTGGGATTGTGGAGTGCATTCCTCCTCTCCGCCGCTCCCGTCATGACACAGGCATTCTTGTGCAGCGGCCCAGCTCCCCCCGCCTCCCCCTCCTGAGTAAACAGGCTTTCTGAGGTCCCTACTTCAAACGCACAGGACTTCCCCTCAGCAGCGCTCCTTAAGATCGCTAGTGTGCTTCGGTCAGCGGCGAGCACCCCCTCCCACCCCCCACCTCCACAGCCCAGTCCCACGGGAGCCCCACCGTGCAACAGTAGCAGCAGCAGCAGCCCAGGAGACTGGAGCGAGAGGCCCCCAGCCAGCTCCTGCCCACACGTGGCACTGTGCAGCAAGGTGGCAGCGAAGCCAGCCAGAGCCGCCGCAGGCTAAAAATGGCACAGAGGTAGGCGACAGGCAACTCGCCATCAGCCTAGAGTGGAAATCTACTGTGTCTGCTGTGACGGCATTAATATCCACACTGCACTGTTCACAGACGCTCACACATTCCAGCAAGCCCATTAATAAGGACACAGATATCGTGCCAGAATGACGTATTTATATATTGCAAAACCTGTGTGAAATCTGCAATTGTTTGTTTATATTCAAACGCATTAAAATATAGAACAAAGCTTCTCCACTGAGGATGTAGATCTATATGTTCCTAATCATAAATGTTAGTGCATGTGACAGAAAAAGAACACAGCGTCTTCATTCATGGAAAAATGCCAAACAAGTATCCAGGGTATTACAGCCACAATAAGCATCATTTTTGCATTAAAATATGGGCTGTAATCCTTTTATCTGTTTCTGCTACAAAGAAACTGCTATGTGGGGCTGCAGGATTGGCCCACATAATGTACCTTGTGTATGAAATGATAGGGAAATGCACATTAAGATTGAGAGGACAGGAATTTGCATAAAAATTCACCTTGTGAGCTGAGTAAAGAGTAGGACAAACAGATCAAGGGAGGTAGATTTTTTTTTTAGCATTTGCGGATAATGCATATCTGATGAGGTAGCACAAGGCATTATTCTTTAGTTAATTAAGTTCTGAATGACCTGATGAACCTTTACTTTATCCTTGCCTTTAAGACAGAAAATGCAGGTTTAAGTCAATGTTGTCACACTCTTCAGAAACACTGCAACATGAGCAGGTGCAAGAAACACTGCTAGATTTCGAACATCATCTTCCCAGTGACTGAGAATGGGCTTAAAGTGAGAACTCACGAAACCTTGAAAGAGGCCATATCATGGGCGGCAGGAGCGCATATTGGAGGCATCATCCCGACCACGGCTGTTCAAAGGAGTCAATCTGAAAGGAGTTAAATGAATGATACAAGACAGAAGACACCTCAACAAAAAGACCAAGAGAAACGGACAGACTAACAGGACATGTCACGAGGCTTGGCGACACAAAATAATGACAACAATTACTTTCAAAGCACACAAAGCACTACAGTCTTAAGTGTCTTGGCTAAAAGAACACACAACATTGTCGTTCTTTGACTCCAGGTTTCAAATGGTACACTTGTTGTAAATGAGCGGTTCCCAGCCACAGGGCTACAGACCAGCACTGGACCAAGGAGGAACATTCAGCGCCGGGGCGGGACAAAATTATATGATATGACAAAAAATGCTGAATAATAATTACACACATTTATGGTCTATTTGTGCTTTAAATACTTTCAACTTTGTGCAGTCTGTCAAAGCTGCATATTTCCTCATCACTCCCTGTCACGCCCACAACAACAAAATACTGGTTTTGAACTAAAGTAGGTCACCAATCTGTCATCAGCAACTTAGCTACTGGATCTGTATGTGCCACTCTCCTGTTC